AGATTTCACAAATACTAGTTTTGATATTTAATTTTAATTTGTAGGTTGGATCCTTTAACCATAATTATAAAAAAATATATATATATATCGACGCACCGTAGCCGTACTCGTATCATACTTTTTTTGAGTTTTATCGTATCAACATACCTGCACTTGTACCCGCGCCCGTGCTTCATACATGAATTGTCTTGTAAGACAAGTTATTTAATTAGATTTTATTTATATTTTTTAGTTGGTCTTAAATTGGTTTTGGAAGTCAAAGATATTGTAATAGTTTCTTTTCTTTTTTATTTTTATTTTTTTATTCTAGTTGGTTTAGAAAGTCTCCTAGTTCTATATAAAGCCATGTAATGCTTATGATTTAATAGAGTTAATATTTTAGAGAATTTTAAGAACTTTTGAAACTTTTTCATGGATTGTGTGATGCAATCAAACACTAGGTGTGATATCTAAGGATTCTAAGAGTGATTCTTATACCTATCTTTTTCCTTTTTCTTTTTTTTTTCTTTTTTTTTTCTAATTTACTATTTTGGGATTACTATTCACAACCTCTAAAAGTGCTATTTTCAACCTCAAAATCCCATCCAATCACCCCCAAAAAGAAATGGCAACGGGTCGAGGCAGGGGCAGGGACTACACTCTCTGTCCCCGATCCCCGATCCCCGAAGGTTAAAAAATCTCCGTCCCCGCCCCCGATCCCTGGCGAGGGAACCCATCACCCCCTCACCCCTATCCCTTAACGGGATCGGGTTTCCCTGACCTCGAAAAATCCCCAAGCTTTTTTTTTTTTTTTTTTAATTTTGTTCAACACAAGATCAAAAAATCAATATATATCAGTATGTTTCATCATCATCAACAAATCAATGTGTATAATTAAAACAGATTAAATTAATTCTTTTTAACAATACAATTTTAAATTAAATTTAAATTTGTTTTCAATATTATAATGAAAACAATCTGTTTTCAGTATCATACAGATTTAAATTTTAAAAAAAATTAATCTGAAATAAAAGAGATCTGTTTTCAATAACAGTGCCAACAATCATCATCAACAACAATACGATACCAGCAATCATCACATATGGATCAGATCAAAGAGAGAGAGAGAGAGAGAGAGAGAGAGAGAGATAACAAATCTAACAGATCTGAGTACACTGCCATCGTCTCGCACAGATCTGAGCGATACTAGTTACTAGGCTCTATGACGAGATCGACGGTGGCTGTGGCGGTGGGTTCAGTAGTAGTGAGAGAGAGACAGAGGGAAGAGACAGAGAGACGAACCTTCTGCGGCGGTGGTGGTGGTGGTCGTGGTGGTGGTGGTGGTGGTGGCGGTGGTCATAAGAAATAGAGAGAGATGAAGTGGAGAGAGAGAAAGAGAAACCAAGGTATGGAGAAGAGAGAGAGAGAGAGGGGGGTCGGGGGAGACACAGACGAGAGAACAGAGAAAGAGGAGAAAAGAGAATCTAAGAAAGGAACTTAAGTTAGAAACACACACACACACACACACACATATATAGACTATAGAGGGGTAAAATAGTAATTTTATGTCGGGGACAAACTGGGTAGGGGACGGGGACGGGGACGGGGACGGAAACATACCACCATCCCTGGCCCGAAACCGATCGGGGATTCATTTTTGAATACCATCCCTGCCCCGTCAGGAGTATTTTTCAGAGAAAAACCGCTCAAATCGGGGTCGGGGAGAAGAATCCCCGTCGGGTCGGTTTCAAATTGCCATCCCTACCCCCAAATCAACCCTATTCCCTTCCTCTACCTATTGGTCTTCAATTGAACTCTTAAGACCCTAAATTACTCATTGTTTAGGCCATCAAATATGTGAGAACCCGAATATACAAATCAAATAAATAATTAAGTAATAATAATTTTTACAATCTCAAATATTTCATAGTGAATCCTAAAGTACAAATTAAATATTGTTGGAGGATCTTTTAATTAATTTTTGACCTAATAATAGTTGTATTTTATTTAGATTAATGGTGAGAGAAAATATAATAAAATAAAATACAGGATAATAATTTAGAGTCTTTTAAGGTTAGATATATAAAGCAACCTTAGTTTTCCTAACAAAAACCCTAACTCTTATTATAATATTTTTCCACAACACTTTCAACACATAGCAACCATAATAGAAAGAAAGGAGAGAGGGACTCCTCAGTAATGGCATGGTGGTTGGGTGAAGTGTACCTAAGATTGTTTCAGTTTTGTGTGGTGTCCATTAGCAAGGTAATTTTCCTCACTATCTTTCCTTTTTGTTCTTATTTTCTTTATTTATTTCCTGGTTGCCATTGTGAGTGTTGCGTGGTTGGTGGGTTTCGAAATTATTTATATAGATATACCTACATACATACTTATACTAATGTAAACAATAAAGTTAATTGGATAGTCATATATATTATATGTGTATCTTGGTTGGTTTGTGTGTGAGAGTGGTGCATCTGTGGCAAAGGAATTGTTGGGTTTGGTAGGTGTGAAGTAATGGTGCATGCAGGTGTTGTGAGTTGTTGGAAGAAAAAGAGACAGTTTGGCTGATTGGGATAGTGTTTTGTGTATATTATTATCATGCACAATTATAAAGCGAATTAAGGAGCTAAAGTCGTTGGATAAGAATTTTGCACAAAATCACAAACTTTAAAAATCGAGGAATCATATCAAATGGATGATTTTTTAATTAAAATTTTTACAGTAGATTAATTACATATTAAACCCATATCAGAATTTTCTCATAATTTTTGGGAGTTAAAATCTATATTAACCGGCGCGCTCAAATTTGTCCAGAAAACTGGTGTGAAACAGTAACTTTGGAAGTGTCGTTCTCTTTGGGTATAAATCCGAAAATTATCAAATCAGCATCATTTGAACCAATTACAAGTCTAGTTTCTTACATTTTTGGCCTTGCATTGATTTCTCCTATATGCTAAGAGAAACATTAATTTCTTTAAAGTGCTGCAGAAAATAACCTGTTTGGATATAATTAATTGTAAATAATTATTTTGACAAGCAAATCAAGTAAAACCAATTGAGTTTGAAACTTAGGATATTATAGTTGATATCTAGAGGGTTTTGGAATTTTTCAAATAGCATGGAGTGGGTTTTTAATTTTCTAGGTTAGCGAATAAATTGGAAAAACTTGTTTAAAACTCTGTTTTATCTTAAAGTTACTTTTAATTAAGTTTCGATCTAAACCCATGTCTTGGGTAATTTTAGACCTTGAAGAACATGAACTTAGGTATTATTTAATAGTAACGGTGAGTGGGGTTGAGTTGTGTTAGTGCGCTTTAGTGTGGGGTACTTAGTTTATTATTCTCTTTAGTATTTTTAAATTAGTAATAACGTGTAGTTTTCATACTTGGTTCAGGGCACTAGTTGGACTTTCATACTCTATTCGAGGATTGTATTATTTCATTTTTAGGTGAGTTGTTGTACGCTACATATTTTTATAAATGTTCCCCTACCCTGAACTGTTGAAAAATTAAATTGTTGTTACAAGACTAAACTGTTGCCACCCAACCGCCATGCCCAGGTTGCCTTAATGATTATAAGGAAAAGACCTAGGCTAGGCTAGGCTAGGTGACCTTCAATCGGATCGTCTTAGAGAAAAGGCCCAGGTTGCCACCCTAAGGATGACTCTTGGTTCGATTTTGGATCCAACGGGGCTTATTGCCTTGAGAATTGTGTGGCATGTTACTTGTTATTCTTGGTACCCAGAAAATTATTGGTGTTCATGTTGTAATATGTTTTAAGTGAAAAATGTCATTTATCATGTTATTCATGAGTATTTTAACTGTTGAACTGTGAAAACTTCTTTTTGAAACAGATTATCTTTATCAAAACTGTATGTCAATCTAGTTTCTGTGATATATATCTTATTTTGGAATTGAACCCTGTTTTCAAATGTATTTACTATCCATGTTGATCATTGAGCTATCAACTGACTTAGTTGTTTATCATTTCCAGGTGTTAGAAGGACTTAGAGTGGACTCATGGCATAGCAGGAACTCAATTGCATGGACCTCTAGGACATTCGTTTATTTTGTTTTAGATTGTTATGTCAAGTTTGTGCATATTTCTTTTTATTTTTATTAAGGTTCATTTAGGATTATTTTGATATGTGGGCTGTTCATATCCCATAAGTTTGGATGGTATTGATTACGGTTGGTTCTGCCGTTTATACTTGTGGCATGTCACTCGATTGAGTTTGGTTATTTATTACTGGACTATTGTGTAGTTGTTCAATGTGATTATGGATTCGTCTATAGGCTTATGTGTACCTTGGGCTAAGGCCCTATGGGCCACGGCCGGTCATACCCGGGTTTGGGGTGTGACAAAATAACCTATATTTTCAAAATCCAGCGCTCTCCCTACTCGTTCTACATCAATAACTTTTCTCATTTAAATATACTTTAGGAAGGCTATGACTTGTAATGGCTATCCTGTTTTATATTCTAAAATAGGTTCAAATGACTTGCAATGGTTCAAACTGGTTTACCTGTAGAACTTATAATCTTCGTTATGTTTGTTCTAAGGAATAAGAGTGTGGGGCTGGATTATATATCTTGGCCAATACTGAATTTCACGCATAGATATAAAAATGGGCTTTTGGATTAACAGTCCTCCCAAACTGTATATCCTTCATTTGAGGGACTATTAAGTCCCTCGAGGACGGTGGGATACGAAAATGGGCGATTGATGGGGGGTCTAGATTTAGCAGTCAAACTATCAAAATGTCCTCAAACTATAGTCATTACACCGTGTAATCCATGTCTAGTGATTTCAAATAAACATGGGATATGATATGATTCTATTAATCACTTCTTAATCCAGGAGCATTCCAGATGTGGGATAGAACATATAATCCTAAAGGATTGGTAACCAAAGAACATTTAATCATGGACTAATAGTGCCATGTAATCTAGTCCAACTTGTCCATCAAAATTCAGAACTAAGTTACATAAGTTATTTGGTTACCTTAATTTCTGCTTTCATTGAGGATTAGAAAGAACTAAAGCTGGTGGTGCCATGGAAGCATGGTTGTTGATTGTCGAGGAAGATGCCATTGCATATGTAAAGTTGTAGTTGATGTTTGTTTCCACCTCCATCCATCCCTGCAGAACCTTAACCACAATAGACATGAAAGGCCTTTTTGACTGATCATTTTGCAAACACCAAGCTCCAATCTTTGTCATCCTGACCACCTCCTTGGCATGATATTGTTTGACTCCTTCATCCATGTTTTCCACAATGTCAATTAGTTGATACTCAGCCTTCTCCCGCAACACTTGAAGCAGATGTTTTCTAGATTCTAACTGTGTGCTGTCAATGTTTCGCCAGCGACTAACTATCTCAAGAAGAACAATTCTAAAGCTATAAATATCAGTTTTGATGGTGACTCTTGCTTGCCACCACTCTGGACCGATATATCCAGGAGTTCCTCTCATTGTGGTCAAAACATGGCTTTCCTCTCTGTTTATCAACTTGTATAACTCAAAATCAGAGATTTTGACATTAAAATCTTCATCCAAGAGAATGTTTTGTGGCTTTATATTGAGGTGAATTATTCTCTGTCGGCATTCTTCATGCAGGTAAGCCAGCCCTTTGGCTATGTGAAGTATAATCTTCTTCCAAGCTTGACAATTGAGGCAAGGTAACGTTATTCCAGAAAATCCTATTATCCAAAGAACCATTAGACATATAATTGTATACTAGAAGCCTGCAAGACTTTTTAGCACAAAACCCAATCAACCTCACAAGTTAACATGGCATATGTGTCCAAGTGTCTCCACTTCAGCAAAGAATTCCTTCATCTCTTGGCCCAATTTATACAAACGCTTTGCCACAATCTGATTGTCATCTTCCAACATCCCTTTAAACACAAATCCAAATGCTCCACCTCCCAATCTCTCCTTAAAATCTTCTGTTACAACACAGTTGTTCATATGAAAACCTCACTCGACTTCCTGGAACTTGAATCATACAGTCCTCCCCGTCCTCTGCACAGCTTAGGCACAACATCACAAAGCATGTAACAATTATAACAACAAATATTAAAAGGGCACCAGCACATGACCCTGCTATTATTAGTTTTAAATTTCTTCGATTTCTCGAAAGTGAAGCAGGTGGAGAAGTGTCAGGCACGGTGCCTTCTACTTGTCCGTTTGCTGCTTAGGGAATTTGGACCTTGACGAATGTTGCAGATGTGAAACTGTGGTTTGGGATTTGCCCTTCTCTAATAGTAAATACCGTAGATGGGATATAACAATACCCATCTGAAACATTATTGATGTACCTGAAAAAGACTGCACCACAGGAACAGTTTAGCAGACACATCTCTTTGCGTGTCTCTATGTCATTGATATGCAGCATCTGAGTCAATGAGGTTGAAGTAGGTTACATTTCTAACTTCGACAAGATGGTGCTTCTGGTCAAAGGGAGGTGGGCAAGACAAAGAAGTAATCCTAGAGCAACCCATATAAGGTATTTGAAGCTGAGTATGTTACTGATATCGTTTTCCATTTTGGCTCTGTGTCTGCTTAAAATATCCAACACGATCAATGCCTATGGGACAACTACACTGGCCTTGTCTGCATAAGCCATATTCACCACAATGGCCAGGATGTTGACATTCACCTAAATCATGGGTAATCATATCAACAATCTCCCTCAACCCATAGGCATTACCGTGATGGAATATCTTCAAATGTCCATCACTACCTTGTTTTATATATATAGTGCTTATAGTGGAAGGAAAATTGATGGGATTTATTTTAAACATTGATTAAGATGTACAAGCTCTGCATAGTATGATCCTCTGTTAGTGGTTGAGGTTTGAACTGGCACCAATTGATAATACATTTGTGGTTGAACCTTGCCTCATATGTATGTAGCAAAATCAATAGCTAATTTCAATGTGGCAAACTACAAACCACGAGCCCATAAGTTTGATAAACTTGAAATGAGTTTTTGATCCTCATATAACCGCTACCCAACAACCAATGTATCCGTGGGGCAATCAAAAGACTGCCAAACAATTGCACCTTTGTTGTTGAATAGAACCAAATTTCTCCATTTCGTCATGTTCATTCCCACCATGGACTTGCCTAATGTATTTGTTGACCACACGTGGTCTCCATCCGAATTTCGTCGTACCAATTCTCCATCCATTGTAAGTTGTAGAGTTGCGTGTTCTTTCACAGGATGGCCTATATTTGCTGACCAAACTACACTGTGATTGCCTCCACCAACAATGGCAACTGAAAGCAAGTAATAGGTGCAACTGCCGAAGCAGTAGAATCCATAAACAAACTTAACACTTCCCCTTCTTGAGAAGATTGCTCTCACGGTTGTTGAGTTGTCTTTACTGACGACACTCTTACCATTAGAATCATTGTTGTGCTAAATTGAGGGAAAACTTGAATTGAGGTAGAACATGGGACCGAATGATGGAGGCAAGGAAGAAGATCCAGCTGCCTCAACAGAAGTTTGGGCAATATTTTGAGCTAAACACACACTAAAAACAAATGAGTAAAACAAAAATATGATTATTCCAGCCATGATCTCTAATGAATTACTTTTATCTCTCTTTTGTTGCTAGCTTTATAAAGAGTTACCAGAGTGAACTTGGGGGTGGAAGAACAAAAATCATGACAAGTCAAGTCTTATAAAGGAGGTGGAGCAATTTTATACAGGTTCTGTGGGTAGAGATTGACCAATGAGCCCATGTGAATGTCAATGTGTATCATAACTTCCAGGTAAATGAGCATGCCTGCACGTAGAGAGGTATATATGTATACATGTGTGTAATGATGGATAGAATAAGTCTATGTACACAGAATTAAACCACAGAAAATAAAAAATAATACATAATGGGGCTTACCTCTGGAGAAAATAATGAGGCTAAGGATACCTCTGATGGGCCCGACCATTCTAAAGTGTACTTTTATATGGTTTAATTCCATGCACGTAGTGATATTTGTATTTTTGGAACAAATTCTTAGTTTCTCACCCACCATTTGTCCATTATGCAAAAAAATAGTACTAAAATAAAAATTAAATTAAATAGAAATTAAATAGCACTCAGTTTAATGAATATGTAAGTCATTAGAATTGAAACAATTCAAAAAATTCTATTTTTAAATAAGAGAAGTTAAAATATGATTTACTTCCCAATTTTTCAACTAATACAGGTTTTCTTAATTTTGAATTTTGTTAACATACAAAATCTAAACAATCAGTTTAAAATCCCATTGTTTAAAACATAAAACAAAGAATTGATGTCAGTAATCAGCACAAGAACATTTCCTATCTTTGAAATGGTGAAACCTACTAGCATCTCGTACAATAATTTCTCAGTTTTTTTATCTCCGATACGTACTTGACCAGCTAATACCTGGCTCCTTCTTCACCCTCCTATCTCTCATCACTTTCCTCACTTCTGAAACATCCTGCCATCTTTTAGCAGAGGCTTGAACATTCGACAGTAACACATAAGGCGCCAAATCCTGAGGATCAAGCCTAAGAACTTCTTCAGCAATTCATTTTGCAATATCTGCGTTTTTGTGGATTTTACAGGAAGATAATAAAGTCTTCCATATAATAGCATCTTCCGCATGAATCTGTTGGCCTTGTCCAACTGTTGCTAACTCTGAACCTGGCTGCCCGCATTCAAATCTTTCACAGAGAGAGAGAGAGAAAGAAAGAGACCTTTCTTGACCAGCAATGTCCAAAATTTGAGCTTTGATGACCTTGCCATCAATGTTAAGGCTTTTGGTAGCAAACTCAACCCCAATAGTGGACTTGGATTCCAGATTAAATTTCGTTCCTCGTAAACCTCGAGAGAAGGTTCGATTTACCCACACCTGAATCACCAATCAAAACCAACTTGAACAAGTAATCATATTCATCTTTAGCTCTATACCCTGCCATCTCTCTCTCTCTCTCTCTCAATTTGCGTTGGTTTAAAGGGCTGTTTGGTTTGATTTTGGACCTTTTCTGAAATTTGTTGAAGTAGGGACTCTTTTTGGGGTTAGGTAGCTAGATTCTTGGAGTGAATGCTCTAAATAGTAATTGGGCCTATTTGGTAGGGCTTATGAGCTGATTATTTTAGCTTTTAGCTTAATTTAAGTTAAAATAGTGTGTTTGGTACAGCTTAAATTACCAACTTATAGCTTAAACCAAGCTATTTTTCAACTTATGTCAAAAGTTGGTGATGGGGTGCTTAAGGAATTTGACTTAAGTGCGCAACTAGGATTGGGGGGTTAAATGACTTAAATGCCCCTCCCAAACTTCAATATTTACGAAACTGCCATTATATATACCTGTTCTCTCTATTGCCCTAAACACACTCTCGCTTCTCACACTCTGCTCTCCTCTTCTCCTCTCCTCTCTGGCGATCGAGAAGAACAGTCGTCTGCCTCTTGATCGCAGCAGATCGGTACTTCTAGAACAGTCGTCTACCTCTCCAAGAACAGTCGTCCCCTGTTTTTCGTTCATCTGCACCGAAAAGGTAACATTTCATGACTGTGATATATACAAATGCGCATACACACACACATATATACATATATATATGGACATCGATTAGGGTTGATTTCATGACTGAGAAGTTATATACAATACATAAATACATATATAAGATTTCTCTCTCTGAAATGTCCCTCTTCTTCACTTTGTGATTAGGGTTGAAAATGCCTCTCTCTTCTTCACTCTCTAATTAGGGTTGAAAACCCCCCTTTTACTGTGATCTGTTATTTATTTATTTAATCCTTAGATATTTTTCAATTTTAAATGCATAAATTTGGTCCCCTGTGACTAACTGAGCTATTATAATTGTTTTGTTTTTGTATATATTGGGAAAAATCTACTTTACAAAATCAAATTTCAAAGAAAAAAGACCCAAAAATGACAATTTTCAAAATCTTTTTTTTTTTTTTTTGTCTTTTTCATCCAAAGCCCTAATTGTAGCTAATTATACACATTATTATACCCATGATTAATATATATTTGGTAATCAGTATGTTTTATTTAAGTAAAGACATTAGTATTTGACTTGAGTTTAGGTTTAATTGAGCTAATTTTGATTTAAGTTTGAAACTTGGTGAAAATTTAACAATGAAAGAACAACTAGCCTTGTTAGACTAATGACATAAGTAAGCCTGAAAAAGTATCAAAAGAAATTTCACAATCACATGAATGGTTTATGTGAATTTTTGCAAATGCTGCTCAAACTCTTAACTGTGAATAATGTTTAGGATGAGGGTAGAAAGTTCACCTGTGCATAACCATTTCCTTTGTCATATTCTTTGACCAATGAAATTAGATGTTATTTATAACATTCTAAGGTATGATCCATTGGATTGTGTTTTGTTAAGAAATTAAATACATTTTTGTTTTTGATATTTGGTTAAAGATTTTCTTTATTTAATTACACTGCAGCTCTAAATTAAATACATTTTAAGGTGGGAGTAATTGAAGTGGTTCTCTTGTTTTGCCCCCCAAAACAAGTGGAGAATACACAACAGCTTAGGTAAATTTCACTACTCATAGATTTCTGTGGAGAAGTGGTTTGGAAATACTCTTCTAATCCTGGGGGACGCTCGTGATCCGCTGATAGTCACCTGAAAAGGAATAAACACTCCGGTCGGGGGTGCCAGAATTAGCACTCCGACGGACAAGTCAGTCTCCACACTCAAGAACGCTTGTATTCTAAGTTAAGCACAACAATTCTCACATACCTCTTTCTGGCTGATGTTCTTCTATTTATATCTTTTCTTCCATGGGCCTCGGGATTAGGTCCATTTCCAACTCCCTATTCGGCACGTTTTGTAGTAGACCGCTCTTTATTCGGCCCCTTGTTTGATCGGCTATTTGGCCGAGTAAAGTTGGATTCGAGCTTACGAGCTGATGCCGAGTGCCATGAATTTTGACTCTCCCAGGTCCG